AAAAAAAAAAGGATTACAACCATTAAAAATGTGATAAACTTATAAAAACACAGGAATGTGTCTATAAAAGGAGATCTCTCATTTGACACCTAAGTCCAAAATATAACAGTACAAAACCAAGTGCATGTGAATTAAGATATTAAATAATAGTAGGCTATATTAATGTGATGGGATTACAGATACATTAGGATTTTTGTGAATTATTTTTTAAATGCGACTCTCCTATCCTTTCTTCTGGCTCACAAGTTCCATTTAAAAACACCAGGAATAGTAATTGAGTCTGCACTCTGTACCTCACCATCCACACTATGAAAGCAAAGCAGAAGCAGTCCCTCATCCAGAATGGTAGGTAAGGCTTCCTGTCAGAAGTGACGTCCAAGTTTTCTACTCTCCAAACAGTTACTTTCTCCTCTGCTGATACCATTCCTACTAGCTCTATAGAAAATGGGTTGGACCAAGAAACCAGAAATATCTTTTCTTTCTCCACAGTACTGAGGATTGAATCCAGGAGTGCCCCACCACTGAGCTACATCATTTTTTATTTTGACACAGGGTCTCCCTAAAGTTGTCCAGGCTAGCCTCAAATTTGCAATCCTCCTGCCTCAGCCTCCCAAGTAGCTAGGACTACAAGTATGCACCACCACACCCAGTGGAACCAGAAATTTATACTATACCAGAAATTTATACTGTATTATAATAAGTTTTTAAAACAATGAGATGCTGCCATAGATTAGTAACTACTAGCCCATTTTCCCAGGCAAGTCATGCTTAGAATACTTACTTGCTCCTTTTCAAACTGGATCATTTTCCTGAAAAAATCTACTGAAAATGGCCGGTTTTCCTGTAAACTAAAATAGAATGTAAAAATGTCATCTTCCACAGTGACAGGATGCCTTTTACTTCTTATAAATAAAAATAAATACCCAGGGCAGTGCCTCCAAAAGAGGGGGTTTGCTGTAATTCCTTGCAAGATCTAGACCCAGTGACTACTCTCAACCTTTAGTGACTTCCCCTTCACCACCAAAGTCTTTCCTACTCACTTTTCTTTCTGTTTTCCTCTTTCTCACATTTGGAGTCTAAAGTTTCCCCAACTATATCTTAAGATCTTTTTGGAGGCCAATAGTTCCATTTCTAAGACTACATCCTAAGGAAATAATTTCCCTTATGGACAAATACTACTGCCAAGGAAATGTTCATCAAGCAGTATTACCATGGCCAAAGAAATTATACCAAATCCACAGAGTGGTTTTTAATAAATGTTAATGAAAATGTATACTGAAAGAGGAAAAGGTGGAACACAAAACTATGATTATAGTTTAACCTCAACTACATAAGAAACAAATTCTAAAATATATTAACAGTCGTTTTTCTTTTGATGGGATTACAATGAATCACCTGTTGATTTTCTCTGTCAAACAGGTTTAATTGCTTTTATTGTTCAAAAGCAGTAAAAGGAAGCATTACTTTTTTAAAAAGTCTCTTGGATTACTTTCTCAGATACTATTTGTGATACATACAATTTGGCTATGATGGGCCATGGAGTAGAGAGAGTAGAAAGGGCTATAAAAGTTTGTGAGTACCTTTTAAACACAGTTCTGGCCTTTTTGTTGCCACCAATTCGATATGCCCAATCCAAGTAGTTATCCTTCAGAGTTACTGAGCTGGTACCTGTGATAGCTAAAATAGCTTTCTACAATGTAAAAGAAAAAAGAAACAAGTTGTATGAGGAAATTTATAGATAACAAAACAAATTTTCCCAAAACCACCCCAGGCTATTTAATGGGGCTTTAGGACATACGCTGATGAAAGAACCCTCCAACTAGTGAGCCCATTCCCCAAACCACAAGACTTAAAACTTGGAACTATACCTTAAAGATTGCTTCTGTGTCTTCATGGCTTTGGGCACCTTCACTCCACTCTGCCCATGAAATCCATAAGGGCAAACAAACCTGCTCCCAATTTAAAAAAAAAAAAAAAAAAAATGTTAGAAAATGATCATTCAGCACTATGCTCTGAAAATTTATCACTATAAAGATGGGTTCCTCCTAAGACAATCAATATGCAAACTATGGATTCATTTCTAGTCTGTCCTAACAATGAGGGAATTCTCATTGCCCAGCAAGAATTGGCATGTCAGAACATAGACAGCCTTCTAAGTCATCCAGAGCAATCTTCTCCTGCTAATTTTAGTTCCCTTCTGTTGGGGAATACTTCCTGTAGTTGTCATCATCAATCATCATTCAGTTACTTAAACCATTAACAGCAGACAGCCAGTCCAACCCACAGCTACTCAGGCCATGGCTCTGCTTTCTAGGCCCCACAACACAAGAACTAACTAATCAAGGCTGATTTTTCACTCACTTGCCAAAAGCAAACACAAATGAGCAGTAAAATAGTGTTTTTCCCATTTTACCTTCTGGAGTACATTTTCCTCACTGATATAAAAAGATTTACTGTATAGTTTTAAGTTTTGATCTTTAAAGATTAGAAATATATTTTCAATTAAAAGTCAGGTCAATGTTCAGCTTTAGATGCAAGTGAGGATAATATTGTATCAAATTTATCACTTGTTCCAAGATATCTAAACAGAATAGAAAGTTTTATACAATATAGCCAATTTTCAAATAAGGGTTAGAAATAAGCTGTTGAAGCTAGGCATGGTGGCAGGCGCACACCTATAATCCCAAAAGTTCAGGAACTTGAGGCAGGAGGATGGCAAGTTCAAAGCCAGCCTCAGAAACTCAGCAAGGCCCTAAGCAACTAAGGACCCTGTCTCCAAATAAAATTCAAAAAAGTGATGGGGTTGTGCCCCCGGGTTCAATCCCCTGTATTAAAAAAAAAAAAAGAAAGAAAGAAAAGAAAGAAAAAAATGAAATGAATTCTACTACTGATCCCTCAAACCATCACCACTTTACAATAAATGTCACTCTAGGGTCAGCTCTCAGCAAATATGTATTCAAAGGAGCTTTGGCTAAAGTCTTAACAGGTTTCCCAAACAGAATGAAACATGAAAGACCCAACTCAGACCTGGGGTTTGAGGTGCACAAAAGCTTCTTCAACAAACATGGCTATGTCAGGGCTCTTTGAGGCAATCAGCACCTGCAGCTTCATCTGCCACATTGTCACGGACTCCTTGAACAATTCAATCCCAGCTTCTGCCACCTCCAGAGCTTCCGTAAAGAAGTCACGGGGCAGCAACAACTCAATCTAAGACAAAGTTAATTACTGAAAAGTTAATTACTGAAACATAAATAACATATATAAATAGAGACAAAGACCTCATGTGAGACAATAATTTCAACAGCCTTTCCACTAAAATTTTTACCCTGGCTGCTGAATAGGCCCAAAGAGAACAATTTGGAATTCCTCTTCCTTTTCCTACTCTTAAACATAAAGACAATCAAGAAAAACAGGAACAAGGGTTGTAGCTCAGTGGTAGAGCACCTTCCTGGCATGTGTGAGGTACTGGGTTCAATTCTTAGCACTGCATATAAATAAATAAAGGTCCATCAACAACTTAAAAAAATATTAAAAAAAAAAAAACAGGGACAAAAGCTGGTGTGTAGGAGCATATTCCTGTAATCCCAGCTACTAGGTTGGGTGAGTCAGAAGGATCACAAGTTTGAGGCCAGCCTGGGCAACTTAGCAAGACCCTATCTCAAAATAAAAAATTAAAAACGGCTGAGGTTTAGCTCAGTTGTAGAGCACCCCTGGGTTCAAACCCCAGTACACACACACACACACACACACACACACACAAACACAAATTGGGCCATAATGACTTAATTCCAAAGACTTATCAAATAAAGTCGGGGGGCAGCTGGGGGACTGGATGTACTTCAGTGGTGTAACCCCCTCAGGTTCAATCCCTAGCATGGCATGGGGCAGGGATTTAGACTGGTGCCCACACTCACCAGAATATAAAAGTCAATAAAGATAAAATAAATATTTGGGGCACAGTAATTAAATAGATGTATTCAATCAAACGGAGTTGGATACATTACATTACAATTTTTCTAAAATGTAATTTACCTCTGTGTAACAAGTCATAGAAGTTTTCATCTTTTAAAAGTTTTGAACTTTAACAAATATGGCCTGACAAATAAAAGAAGGAAACCTTATCTGTTCAAAGATTTATATCCACACTATTTATATTTTTGTTTTTGTAGTACCATAGATTGAAAGCAGGGGCGCTCTACCACTGCACTATATTCCTAGCACTTACTTATTTTGAGACTCGGTCTCACTAAACTGCCCAGGCTGGTCTCAAATTTGTGATCGTCTTATCTCACTGTTCCAAGTAGCTGAGATTATAGGTATATACTACTGCACCCTAGATTCCACAGTTTTAATAGAGGAAAAAAACTGCTAAGTGCAGTGGCACACACCTGTAATCCCAGCAGCTCAGGATGCTCAGGTAGGAGGATCACAGGTTCAAAACCAGACTCAGTAACTTAGCAAGGCCCTGTCTCAAAATAAAATATAAGAAAAGGGCTGAGGATGTGGCTCAGCGGTTCAATGCCCCGGGATCAATCCCAGATACCAAAAAGAGAGAGGGGAAAAAAAAAAAAAAAAACCTAAAACAATTCCAACTTTACAGGACTGTGAAAGAGTGAGTAAACGGCAATAAACAGTTCACCCATATTATATGCTAGATTTAATTTATACTCCTACTGCCTACAGAGAGACTACCTAAAAAGACAGCCTACCAAAAGAGACAGTTTGACATGTGCCATGACAAAAAGAATCACCTGCTACAGGAGTACAAACCAGAAACACCAACTAGACCTTTGGCAATTACTAGTGAGGACTCAAAAAAAGGAGCATTTAAGCCAAGATTTAAAACAGAAATACGTACTAACCAAATGAACACAAGACCTCCAGAAAAAGAGAAGGCTTTCCCAACTAGCAAGAGGCCAGAGATGGCTCAGATGAAAGGAAATCCAAGTTCAGTATGACTGGAGGGTAGGACACACACCAGAGGATTGGAAGATGAGCCTGGAAATACTGATAGGGGCCAAGTTAAAGAGTAGAGATTCTGTGGAGAACAATCAGGAAAAAGAATGGGTGTAGAATTAGCTGGGCATTTAACTTTTAGGCAGTACTCTAAGGGATTCTCTTTAAAAGTAAGGTCATCAATGATGGCTGAGGTGGTAGTCTTAGGAAAGGCAACTTCAGAGATTTGAGTATTATAAAAATGTTTGAAATAGCCAGAGTTGTAAACAATATAAGAAAGATGATAACAGAAGAATAGGACTGCCAAGGTAATAGTCTTAGGCCACCTGAATTTATGTACTGTGAATGACTTTCCAACACTTAATAACTCCAGCCCTGGGATTTTCCTGATTTTCTTAAAAGGAGAAGAGTATCTCAGCCTTGGAATAATATAACAGGTTATACTACCTAGTATCTTGGGGGAAATATTAATGCAAAAATAATAGAACACAATACAAAACAGAACACAATACAAAATAGTAAAACATTCATTACAATTACATAAAAATAATATTGATCAAAAGGGGCAAGCCAGGTGTATTGGCACACTCCTATAATCCCAGTGGCTTGGGAAGTTGAGGCAGGAGGATCGTGAATTCAAAGCCAGTCTCAGCAACAGCGAGACAGTAAGCAACTCAGTGAGACCCGGTCTCTAAATAAAATACAAAATAGGACTGGGGATGTGACTCAGTGGTTAAGTGGCCCTGAGTTCAATCCTTGGTATGCTGCCCCATCTCCTGCCAAAAATAAAAAAGAGGCAGAAGTCATATAAATAAAAAACTCAATAAATATAAAAATTTTTGTTTTTTCCCCCTGCTGAACAGTTATATTAACACATGCACTACTTTATGCAATGCTCTCAATGACTTTGTGAGGTGGCAAAAACAAAAATGACTATTTTAAAACCAAATAAACTCAGCAAAGTTAAGTGGTTTTTCTAAGTCATCTAGCTACTATGCAGTAAAACCTGATCTAAAACTATATATTTCCACAGTACATTATTCTGGACTTTCTTTACCCTCAACTCAAAGTATAGAGGGTTAATGCACCTCTTACTAGAATGTCGGCTTTTGAAATACAGGAACACATCTCATTGTCTTTAATGGTTACTCTGGGCCAGGAAAAAAATGTTCATTAAAAGATGGATGAATGGGGTTGGGGTGAGGTTCAGAGGAAGAACACCTGCCTAGCATGCACAAGGCCCTGGATTTGATCACCAGCATCACAAATAAATAAAGGATGGGTGAATAAACAAACTCAGACTCTCTGTTCAAGTACTTTCCACTGTATAATACCCTCCCCTTTACAGATTTCAATTTTGGTATATACCAAATACAACCACATGTAAATACCATCTTCCAAATGGCCACAGTTGTGTAAGATAGATTAGTCCATACATACAAAACACATTGACAACAGCACAAAACAACAAAAATAAAGTATATGTAACTGACAGTGAATGTGCTCTCAATGTTCTTACCCACTGCTTGTACTGGGATTCTGAAAGGAGCTTGAGTTCATGTGCCTTCCTGAATGAAATCATGGTTCTTTCCAATCTCTAAAATCAGAAAAATTCCTCAGTTTATTACCAAGATCTCATCAGAGGCCTCTGTCCACTGATATAAACAAAAACAATTTTTCATATTTCTAATAATTCAGAGAAAGGACTGGTTGCTCCTGCATCATGGTGTCACTCATCATTAGAGGAGGTTATCATTTGTATGGGGCACAGCCCAGGAAGAAACGGGCCCCTCCTACCCTGGTGTGCAGTATAAGGGCAAACCAAATCAGACCTTGAAAATGACAGGCCACCCTCCTGGCTGTCAGGAGAAAGTGGTTAAGCTTGAAGTTTCAAAACCTGGCCCACACCCTCCCGTAAAATGCTGTGCTTTTGTTCTTCTTTTGGCAGATAGGAAAAAAAAAAAAAATAGAAGACAGTCACTTTCTAATCAGTCACTGTAACCATGAAATATAAGCCCTTACCTTCCCTCTGAGGAACTCACTACTCGTCTTCTTAGAAAATCTTTCCAAGCAAAAATTGATGTAACATTTCCACATGCCCTCTGGGGAAAAAAATCACATTACATTGATAAGATCTCCAATTCTCTTAGTTCAACAATCATCACATGTGTTTTCTTCAAAGGGAAAAAGCCTCTGAAGAAAAGTTTTAACTAGCTTAATGGAAAATTATTTGGGAGCTGAGGTTGTGGCTCAATGGTAGAGCGCTTGCCCGGCACACGTGAGACACTAGGCTCAATCCTCAGCACCACACAAAAATAATAAAATAAAGATATTATGTCCATCTACAACTATAAAAATATTGAAAAAAAAAGTTATTTGAATTACAGCCAAACATTTCAAATACTGGGGGAAAGCATTTTTAAGCATTTGAAACATAAAATTCAAAAGCTTTATCCAGGTTTTAGATCCTCACCAACTTTATTCTCCAATATCATAAAAGAAGTTAAATCTCTAGCAAAAGATAACTAAAGACTCTTCTGAATTATCATTTCCTAAGTATCAATTCCTCCAAACAAATGAACATAAAGACTGCAAAGATAGAGGAAGTATACAAAAGCTCCAACTTCCACCATCAGAGAAAGAACAAGCTGGAAAGCCAGGCACATTGCAAACTGTACTATAAAGAGATTTCCAGTGCCAATTTTGGTAACAGGAAGGGGAGTGTCTGCTCATACTTGGATACTGTTACTTCTACACCACATGGTGGTTTAAAGAACTTTACCTGTAGGCAGAGTCTTCACTGCCTCTTCATATACAGCACAGCACCTCTCCTCCCTCCGGCCCACCTCCACTGCTTTGGCTTGTTTTGTCAGAGGCTGCTCATCTCCTGGTTGTGACTGGATCTCTAATTCTCGGCGTGCCACATAATCCCAAGTGAGAGGATCATCTGTGTGCATAGCCTGAAGGCTGAAAAATACAGTTTATTGGCATTTGGTCCACAAAAAGGAACTCAGGATTCCCAGAGAGACAGTTCCACATGGTCTAAAAATGTACACAAGACACCTTTACAACTGCAGTACCTTAAGAGCCACTTCCCAATCTGCTCTCCAGAGTACCTTCACTCACTATATAATCAGTGGAACAAAGCTGTCACAGATTTATTGTCTCATAATATTTCAGACATTACTGACAAATGTTAACATTTAAGTTAACTCATAAAGTCAAAACAGCAGTTATCTGTGACCACACAAGCCTCCAAGAGCTCTTGACAGCTTTATATCCTAACTCTGGATTTCCTGTTATTATAATGGAGGCAGAGAAAAAAGTACAACCTAATTCTCTACCAAAACTCTACAGATCTAAAGGACAAACTGATCCACATTTCATCTTATAGCCTAGGAAAGCACAGGGAATGGAAGTACATATAAAGTTGGCACAAATAAAAAATTCTTAGATAATATAATCAGGCATTAAGAATAAAATTACTTGCAACATTCCAGTAAGAACAGTTATAAATACGACTCTTGTTTTATGAACAAAAGACATGCCAGGACAACAGAACACAGGTTTTCTTGTTTTTCTTTTGGTACTAAGGATTGAACCCAGGGACTCACACAGTCTAACTCTACCACTGAGCTACAACCCCAGCTAGCCTCAGTATGATGCTCCTGCCTCAGCCTTCTGACCAGCTTGACTTACAGGAATGTGCCACATGCCAGCAGGACATAGGATTTTTATATAAGCCTTAGGATATATTTGTTATTGAATATAGACAAATTATTTCCAAAAGGAAGTCAATAAATAAGGTCAAAGAATTCTCTAAAAACATACTCTTTGAATATGTAAAGCATACAAATTTTTCTTAAAACTTAGCCTTTCTATAAAGTCAATAATAAAAGAAAAAAAAAAAAAACTTAGCCTTTCTTCCAAGGATCTAGTATGGTATCTTTTTCCTCCCTTACAAACAACCAAACTCAAATTTTTATCATGTGATCAGAAATAGATATAATTCACCTTTCTACCATTTTACTTACTCATCATAAATTTCTTTTTGTAGATCTTTGGCAAAATCAAACAGCTGTGCAATTGAGAGAAGTGACACATGAAATTCTGCACCTAAAATTTAAAAAGCAGGGGAGGAGAAATTCTTCACAAAGGGCACTCTACCACTGAGCTACACTCCCATTCCCTTTTTTTTTCTCCCTTGAGACAAGATCTCACCAAGTTGCCGGGGCTGGTCCCAAACTTGCATCTGAACACTAGTTCTTTTGTTTTTTCTTTGGGGGGGATGGGGGGTGGCAGGGTAGAGGTCTGGGGATTGAATCCAGGGACTCACACATGCTAAACACGTTCTACTGCAGACCTACATACTCCCCCAACTGAAGGAAGCTTATTTTGGTTGTGGATTTTCTTTATTTTTTTTTTTTTTTTTTTGAGAATGAGAAAAAAAAAAAAATGGGCTGGGGGAGATCCTATAGTCCCCATAAACAAGCAATGCCACTATTAATATTATGGGATATTCACAAGCACTTCTAACTTTCATTCTAAACTTGAGGGCATAAGGAAACAAACTAAGTTCTCTACTTCTTTCCAATATCTAAATAAGTTAAGTATTCGAAAAATAGTTCCTGAAGCCGGGCGCAGTTGTACATGCCTGTAATCCTAGTGGCTGGGGAGGCTGAGGCAGGAGGATCATGAGTTCAAAACCAGCCTCAACAAAAGCAAGGCACTAAGCAACTCAGCAAGACCCTGTCTCTAAATAAAATACAAAATAGGGCTGGGGATGTGGCTCAGTGGTTGAGTGGCCCTGACTTCAATCCCTGGTACCCCAACAACAACAACAACAACAACAAAAAACACTTCCTGAAAAATGTGCAATTATAGTCTAGAAGAAATAAGCATTTTCAAAAAGATACAGGACTCTGGGCTGGAGTTGTGGTTCAGTGGTAGAGTGCTTGCCTGGAATGTGTGAGGCCCTGAGTTTACCCCTCAGCACCACATATAAATAAATTAAAAAAAGATCCATCCATTGACAAAAAAGTATTTAAAAAGTAAAAGATACAGGACATTATCCCTACAATCAGAGTTTTATACATATTACAGTGGAAATTTTCAAAATTAGCTAACAAAATTAGCTCAATATGAGAATGCTCCACTTTCCTACCACAAATAAATGTTCAAAAGATACCTACCATTTTTTAATATTTATTTTTTAGCTGCAGTTGAACACAATATCTTTATTTATTTATTTTTATGTGGTGCTGAGGACCACATAGGCAAGCACTCTACCATTTTGCCACAACCCCAGCACCAAAAGACACCTACCTTTAATCTTGCTTATAGAATTTTTGTAGATGATCCGTGCCAACTCGCCATTAAGGATTTCTTCAGAATGATCAAAACTCCCCTATAAAGTGTTACATTAAGCACAATAAGTAGGGTCAATAAGTTTAAAAAAAAAAAAAAGCACTAGGATGAAAATTAACAGTCTTGGACTACCACTACCTGTACAAGTCATGTCTCTGTGTGTGTGTCTGTCCCCGCTCCCCTATTCTCAACCAATTCCCTCTCTTGTAAAATGTGAAACTGAAACAAGATCACTCATCTTCCAGCTCTGTTCTCTCAGGATCCTGGAGTGGTAGGAAGATCACACAATTTAAGGCCTCAATCTCTATTTTTAACAAGTCAAGTTGTACAAGTTCTAATTATCCTTCTGTTTTAAGATTTTATTTGGATAAAAAAAGTTCTGAGTTGGAAACCACAATAACAGACAAAAGCAAAGTTCCTTTTTCAGCTCTAACATTCTAAATCTTCTTTAAGATATTCTATCATGTTAAAAAATCACATAAAAAGTAAAAGAAGTAGGCATAGGGGCTGGGGTTGTAGATTACTGGGGGAGTGCTTTTGCCTGGCATGTGTGTCACACTGGGTTCAATTCTCAGCATCACATATAAACAAAATAAAATAAAAGGTCCATCAATAAATAAAAAACATTTTTAAAAAAGAAGTAGATTTCTGTAGGTCAGTGACAAATCCTCTGAGATGGAAATGAGGAAACTGCCCCATTCACAATATCCTCAAGAAAAATAAGATACTTGGGAATCAACAAAAGAGGTGAAGGATCTATACAATGAAAACTATAGAACCCTAAAGAGAAAAATCAGAGAAGACCTTAGAATATGGAAAGATCTACCTTGCTCATGGATAGGCAGAATTAATATTATTAAAATGACTATACTACCAAAAGCACTATACAGGTTCAATGCAATTCCGATGAAAATCCCAATGGCATTCATCATAGAAATAGAAAAAACAATCATGAAATTCATCTGGAAATACCCAGAATAGGTAAAACAATTCTAAGCAGGAAGAGTGAAACAGGTGGTATCACTATACCAGACCTTAAACTATACTACAGAGAAATAGTAACAAAAATAGCATGGTACTGGCACCAAAACAGGCTGGTAGACCAATGGTACAGAATAGAGGACACAGAGACTAACCC